TTACTTGCCTTAAACATAAGTTTTTTTAATATGATAGTTGGTTTTGGTTCATTAAGATATATATAATAATGTAAATTTGTGGTTTTGGTTACATTCATATGGCTGAATTGGTTTGAATGCTGGCCTGTATGGTGCTGTTGAATATGCTCCTTTGTATGAGATTTCAAAATTGCAGAGAGGCTGCTGGCACAACAGAACCGGTATTAAAAAAAATTCCCATAATACTTGACGGTTATTACTTAAAACGGTCAAGTATTATTACAATACTTGACGGTTTTAGTAATAACTGTCAAGTATTGTTTGCTACTGTTGCACCATACTTGATAGTTTTCAGAACTGTCAAGTATTTATTACTTATACTTGATGGTTTCTAATTAAAACCATCCATTTTTTTCCTCTAATAATTGACGGTTCTGATGTTAACCATCAAGTACTTAGAGAAATAGTTTACAGTTTTTCTGAAAAAAGTCAAATGCTTGTATAATAATTGATGGTTCATCATGTAAAACCGTCAAATATTATTGAAATATTTTACGGTTAATAATTGTCAAATATCTAAGGTTGAAATATATGATGCCAATATACTTGATGGTTTTTAACTGTCAAATATAGCCCAGAATAATCGTCAAGTATTTGTCATTCTGTAGTAGTGAATAGATTAACAAGTTGTGATTTCAACCTAAACACTTAGTGCCAAAATTAGGTTAAGGATAACTAATGTGCCACCAATGATTTGCAATCAAAGTAATGCAAAAATATATATAAGTTAACTTAAAAATGATGATTGTTAAGTTGCTAAACCTTTTTTTGTAATTTCAAGCTTTCTGGAAAATAAATAAACGAGGCCCTTTAACTAAAAAGAAAAAAGTTTGTTGATAGCTAATGAAATGTAGTAAACATAATACCATACAAAAGCTGTGAATGGCCTAGAAAAGTGGCCTCATTACTTGCTAAACAAAGTTGCCAGTAACTTATGAAATGCAATGAATACCAATACAAAAATTGTGATGCTATTAACAAATGTTCATTTTATTTTACCAATTTTGGAAATGATTAATAAGTCGAGATTTCAACCTAACATTTGGTACCTAAATTAAGGGTGACTAATAGGCCAAGAATGATTTGCAATCAAGCTAATGCAAAATAATATATAAGTTATACATTGTGATTGTGAAATTGCTAAAGTTATTTAAATTTTGAACTTTAATTTTTTTTAAAAAATAAATTGGGCCTTTTAATTAAAAAAAATTGTTTATAGTTGATGAATTGTGAATGATCTATAAGAGTGGTCTTGTTACTTACTAAACAGTTTTTAATAGTTGATGAAATGTAGTTAATACTTATACAAAAATTATGAATGATTTGCAGTTAATGGGCTTGTTATTTGCTAGAAGAAGATTGTTCATAGCTATTGAAATGTAGTTTTAATGCCCATATAGGGTATGTTTGGATCTCCGTTTTGAGATCCAAACGTGCCTTGGAAATTGTAATAAGCCAGTTAGGAGCGTTCTAAGCTAAACTCATTGTTTGGATAGGTAGCTTTTCAACTTGACTTCTGAAAAAAAGCATCTTATTTCTGAACGCTCCCAGATGCAACTTTTCCAACGTTTCAAATGCATTTCTCTAATATGTATTCAAGAACATATTCAAGAATATATTCAAGAATATAATTGAAAATGCGATTCCTCCTTCACTGTCGCACCTTGATCGGTCAGTTCCCCACCTTCGGCGACGACCAGCTCAACTCCGACGACTACCAAGTGGGACCCCTTTTGACCTAACCCTCTCATTTTCTTTTTTCTATTGGAAAGAATGGTTTTGCCTTTCGACTTGCGTATTACATTTTACCGCCTGTTCCTTTCTCTACCATCTTTTTAATCGTCAAATTTTTTTTAATCTTTTATAAGCCACCTCAGCTCGTCCACTTGGTTCCATATGAGCATATTTAACAGAGTTAGGGACATGTCAGCATATTTAATAGTGTTAAAGGTGACACCAAGTCCTTTTAAAAATATAAGGACTAATGTTTTAAACGGAGCAAACTTAAAGGACCAAAACTGGAGGTTACAAACTTCAGGGACCAAAACCAAAATGAATGAAAAGTGTAAGGACTAATCATTGTATTAACCCTTTAATTAATTATCTACAATGTGTTTTTAAATTTGTCTTGGTAACAAATATTTTTATCTTATAATCTCACAAATAAACTATTTTTATTTTATCATAATAATTTTAGATATTTTTTAACAATTATCATATTAAAAATATCAAACATACTATTTAATAAAGTATATGTCCTTTTTAGTCATTTTACAATTGAACTAACTTTTTTACTCATCCAAACAACTTTTAACTTTTCCAACTGACTTTTTAAAAGCACCTATCCAAACATACCATAACTGACTTTTACTCTAACTTCAGTTACAAAAGTCAGTTGGACTAGAAGTCAGTTTTGCCCAACACCAATCCAAACATACCCATAAAAGTTATGAATGACTTGTAATAAGTGGCTTTATTACTTACTAGACGAAAAATGATCATAGCTCATGAAATGTAATCAATATCTATACAAAAGTTGCAAATGATCAGCAGTCAAAGCTAAGTATTTAACATATATATTTTTTGAATTTTATTGATAGAAGTGGGAACTTTTTTTTTTTTTTTGACAAAATAAGCGGCATTGTTGTCATTTTGCTTTAATTTCAAAATACCCATTTAAGTTTTTCTTCCCTTTTTGACATCATAATACGTCAGCTTCCAAAATTGATATTTTATTTTTTCAGGCCTCTTTTTCTATATTTTTTTAATATAATATGAAGCATAAATACTAAGCTATTTTAAATGCCAAACCCAACATAATAGAAAAATATCACACTTTTTTGGCAGGACATAGGGCATTGAAAACAAATTATGAAGATTTGGGGTAATAAGGCTAGAATAAACTTTTTCTTTCATTCCAAGTCTCTGTTAATAACGCTAAACCTAGCCTGTTTGGTTCAATGAAAATGTGGGCCTGGAAATGGAAAATTCAATTTCCCCTTTGGCGGCGGCAGTTTGCTTCGCAGAAGAGGCAGGAATGGAAAGGAAACCGCATGCTGATTCTCTTCAATCCACATCTTGGCAGCATTTCTTCCATCTTATTTTCAATTTACACCAAGTAACAGGCATGTACCTTGGCCCTTTCATGAATATTTTCACAAGTTGCATATCACCAAGAATTAACACAATAGTTGACTCCTCACCATCTGTCCATGCACAAGCCCTATTACCTGTAACGTACATCTGCGTTATCAAAACCACAAAAAAAAAAAACAAAGTCATTAAGGGCCATATTTTGCACCCATTTCGCTTTTCTTCTTGCCGCACAAACAGGACACTGTTCAGACCAAAGAGATGGGTGTAGTTTTCTAAACTCATAAATATTGTTAAAATATGTCATTAAGGGCAATATGGTTATTTTGTTTATTTTTCCACCTTTTTTTCATCCAACCAAAGATAAATTTTCCATTCAAATAATTTTCAATTCCACTGACAACCAAACATTCACTCCACCGTCAATTTTTCTTTTTCTTCCTTTCCATTCTTTTCCATTCTAATGAATTCTTTAAACCAAACGGACTGTTAATATAACTATTATTATTGATATTACATTGCAAACTTTGAAGGTTATAAATTTTTTTTTGTATATTTTCACGTGTTTTTGTGTTGAGATTTTCCTTTAGATTTCACAAGCAACCATTTCAAAATTTTTCATAATTGACTTTGGTATCTTTATTAGATTAGTTCAATTCTATTAGTTGATTATTTGTGGTCTTTCTTCACATCTTCTAAAAAAACGGTGTAATAGATAGGGTTTTGCTGTTTAGTTTTTATTAAGATATTAAAAATCAGACCAATCAAAGAACTAGTCGAGAAAATCAGTCAAGAGTCAGTGTGTTAGATTAGAGTTAATTCAAAAATAAACCGATCATAATTATGCTAATTTAATTAAATTAAAATTTGTAAAAATTATTTATTAAACAATTTTATCGTTACTATATAAAATGCATTTCCCTTGTTATTTCTCTCATTCACCTCTCCTCCCTTGTCTTTTGTCAGATTTTCTTTCTTCCTAATGCCATTTTATTATATCACTTGCATTCTATTGTCAAATCACCTTTCTTTAGTACAATGTTTATTTTCAAAACCTTCTCAATTGAAAACTAAAAATGCAAGCCTCCCACAAAAGAAGATTTGCATCTAGAACCATAGTTCAGTTTTCATTTCTATCACTAGAATCCCCCATAGTGGCGCCTTAACCTGGGCATCCTCTCCAAATATAAATACATTTTCAACATTCACCTTGCCCACTTGCTCTTTCTTTCATCTTCCTCATACTTTTCTTCTCGCTCATTGTCTTCCTCACCTTCCATGGTTTTCAGTAAGTGAAAACGTTAATTCTAATATCCCTTAGTTGGATGGGTTACTCTGATTATCATTGTATCACATCAGTTCAAATTTTTATTGGTTCAAATTTTTATTTGTTAGTTTTGGCTCTAAACAGGTTGGTCTCATCTAGTTTTTAAATATCATGCATGGTTTTTATTATGTGAGGGACCTTTAGGGTTCATTAATAATTTAGATTCATGATTATATTATCTCAATGCATAAAGATTTTAACATCTAATTCGACCAGCAATCCAAATTGTAGATTATAAACTATTCCCTTAATCGATTTAATGGCTGTTTTGATTTTGAAATCTCAGTTAAGCTTTAATAATTGACTTTTATAAATGGGGCTTAAGAGTTCACTGAGTGGCCTGCAAACAGAATCGGGCCGATCCGTTTCCTCACTCGACATGGAAAGGGTCGGGTTGCCCGTCTTATCCCGTTTCCATACAATAGTAGTAACATTTTTATTAAATTATGATTTAAAATTTACTTCTCATTTTACCATTTTACCCTCGAAAAACTTCCTGTCTTCGAAACTCAAATGCAAAAAGCACGCGTTCGCCAGTTCTCGCCTTCTCGGCGTCATCGAAGCTCTCCGCAGGCCTTCGCAGTTCGCACGATTACCGCCGTTTGCCGTACAACGGTCGTCTCATCACTTGTCAGACTCCTCTATATCATCGCAAGTCCGTGACCGTTGCCTTCTGCCCTTCTCCTCCTTCACAAGATCTCCTGGTTCGCGAAGAGATCTGCTTCGTTTCTTTGCCTGAGGTTTCTGCTTTCCCCTTCATGTTCATCTTCGCTTCTAGAGTTCGTTTCTGCCCGAGGTTTCTGATTTTAATTTTTAATTTTTGCTTCAGCTGATTTCAAGCCTAAGTTTGTTTGCTTTGTATCTGAATCCAGGTTAATTGGGTTTGATACTAATGAAGGAGAAGTCCCAGCAAGAGGATGAATCTCGCAATGAAAGTGAAAGTCACGGCAAGAAAGATGACGAGGTTGTATGATTTATCTTTAAAATGATAACTGATGATCCATCATGTGGTATTTCTTGGGTTTTATTTTTTGCCCCTTGAACAATTAGTAAGAATACTCCGTAGTTTTCTTTGCTGATAATTTGCAGCTTAAAATGCGGTATTTAAAATTCGTTATGTTGAAGTACAGTATCAATGTCGATTGCTCTTACTATAATCTCCATCTATAGTATTGAACAGTTAAATGTGAATATCATGCAACTTTGAGGTTTGAGCAACTATCGCTGATGGGAAGAAGTAAAAAATACGACTAAATTATTGTAATTTATGCTATAGGGTAGTTCGTTGCGTGGGCAAAAAGTATCAACAAAGATGTTAAGGCCAAGGTCCAGTAAGATGAAAAGTTTGCTAGATGAATGGAAGAGTTTTTGGGGGAGGCCAAGGGAAGCTGTTTGTAGGTAGTAGTGGGTAAATTAGTTTTGAATGTAGAATAATAGATGAAAGGCCTACATAGCTATATGAAGCAAAAACTTTGGATGTATCACTATTAGAATTTGGAGAGAATGTTGGACAATTGATAGGTATTGTTAACCAGTGAGGTGTTAGAATAACTTAAGGAAACAATGAAGAAGATACCTAGTTTTCTCGGCATTTATGGTTCCCATTGGGGAAAGGGTTGCTGATTAATGCTGTTGACCTGATCCCCATTACAAACCTTACATGATAATGACTTGCAGGGTAGCCTGTCATTCTCTAATCAAACTTGCAGCGAGTACAAAAGAAAGATGAATTGGTTTTGGTTCACCTCTCTTACTGAAAGTTTCTGAATAGTAATTCTCTGTATATTCACTCATGATCTGATTACATAATATATAAGGGAAATAGGAATCAACCTAATCAATACAGATCTGATCCTATACCTCCTAATTAATACAGATTTGATTCTATTCCTCCTAAAATCATGGAGCACTAATAGTGACCAGATTTCTCTCTAATCTGACCGTTGCTATTTATTACAGAATATTCTCTGTAATATAACATAGGAAATTAGGTTAAGCATTTGGTTTCTGGGCCTTTAGGCAGCAGGCCCACTTTCCCACACTCCCCCTCAAGCTGGTGAGTAGATGTTAATCATTCCCAGCTTGCTTCTGAAACCTTCAAATTTTTCTTGAGTTAGAGACTTTGTCATCACGTCTGCAATTTGATTTCTTGAGGGAATGTAAGCTAGATCAATCACCTTACTATCTATCTTTTCTTTAATGAAGTGTCGATCGATTTCCACATGTTTTGTGCGATCATGATGCACTGGATTATTAGCAATCTTGATTGCTGACACATTATCGCACCAAACTTTCATTGGAGCATTAACCTCAATTTCAAGCTCCTTCAAGAGTCTCATAAGCCATATCCCCTCACAAATACCTAGGGCCAAGGCCCTATATTCTGATTCGGCCGAACTCCTTGATACCACTGGTTGTTTCTTACTCCTCCAAGTAACTAAATTTCCCCACACATAAGAACAATAACCAGTAGTAGATCGTCTATCTCTTTTTGATCCTGCCCAGTCAGCATCAGTGAATAGTTCAATTTCTTTAGATGTGCCCTTAGCAAAGAACAACCCTTGTCCTGGGGTCTTCTTCAGGTACCTCAGTATTCTGTAGACTGCTGTCATGTGTTCCTTTTGAGGACTATTTGAGAATTGGCTCACCACGCTAACTGGATAGCATATGTCAGGCCTTGTGTGGGATAGGTAAATAAGTTTCCCTACTAGCCTTTGATATTGCTCCTTGTTTACTACCTTTCCATCTGACTTGATTGTTAGCTTTTGGTTCAGCTCCATTGGAGTATTAGCAGGTCGAGCTCCCAACATCCCTGTTTCTTTTAGGAGGTCAAGTGTATACTTACGTTGTGATACACTTATCCCTTTATGAGTTCGCGCCACCTCCATGCCTAGAAAGTATCTTAGTGGGCCAAGATCTTTGATTTCAAATTCTGTTGCTAAGTCTCCTTTTAGCTTTGTGATTTCTTTTTCATCATTCCCTGTCAAAACTATATCATCAACATAAACAATAAGTATAGTTATTTTTTCATGATGGTGTTTAACAAACAGGGTATCATCGGCTTGACATTGTTTATAGCCTAACCCTTTGATGGCTCGAGAGAACTTCTCAAACCAAGCCCTTGGAGACTGTTTCAGCCCATACAAAGATTTGTGTAGCCTACACACCTTCCCAAAATTGTTTGAGTTTCTCATTCCCAAAGGAATCTCCATGTAAACTTCTTCTTCTAAGTCCCCATTAAGGAAAGCATTTTTAACATCAAGTTGGTGTAAAGACCAATCTAAATTTGCAGCAAGAGATAAGAGAACATTTATAGTATTAAGTTTAGCTACAGGGGCAAAGGTCTCTTGGTAATCTATCCCATAAGTTTGAGTAAACCCTCTAGCAACCAAACGGGCCTTATATTTGTTTATACTTCCATCGGGGTTATATTTTACTGTGAATACCCATTTACTACTCACAATTGATTTACCTTTAGGAAGATTTGTAATTTTCCAGGTTCCATTCTTTTGTAAAGCTCTCAATTCTTCTTCAATAGCTTGTTTCCAATGTAGATCTGTAACAGCCTCATTGAAACTTTTAGGAATTTTCACACTTTCTACATTTGCTACAAAAGTTTTTAGGTGGGGTGAGAGCTTACTGTATGAGACATACTTACTAATAGGATGTTGAGTGCAGCTCCTTTTTCCTTTTCTTAGGGCAATAGGCCAATGAAGTTCTTCAGAACCCATTTCAGGTGCAGAGTCATGTTGCTGCATAGATGTAGAGTCACGTTGCTGTTCTGTGGTATTACTAGGTTGGTTTTCCATAGTTTCAACCATAGGCTGGTCACAGAGAGAGTTTAGAGGCTCAAAAGGATTTGTATCTTGATAGACAGATCTGTTTGGGGTAGTTTCGGTTCTGTTTGGTGTATGTTCAGATCTGTTTTGGGAGCTGTGTGTTGATTCTGTAAAGTGGGAAGGCATAATAGGTATATCTAGGGAGATTGAAGGTCCAACTATTTGCTGGTCTGTTTGAGAACCCTTGTGATAGTCACAAATTGTCCAGTCACTTTCCTTGTTCTCCCCCTGAATGGATGATTTGGGATAATATGGTTGAGATTCAACAAACTTGACATTCATTGTAATGTAAACCTTTTTGGTAACAGGGGAATAGCATTTGTAACCTTTATGATTTGAGGAATAACCAAGAAAAATACATTTAATGGCTCTAGGGTCCAGTTTTCCCCCATGTTCATTATAAACAAAGGCAGTACACCCAAAAACCCTCTTGGGAAGAGAAGTTACGAGGGAAGAGTTTGGAAAAGTGTCAAGAAATTTTTGTAAAGGGGTCTGGAAGTGCAGAACTTTTGAAGGCATTCGATTTATCAAATGAGCAGCGGTAAGTATAGCATCCCCCCAAAATTGGTGAGGAACATTGCCCCCGATCATAAGGGCTCTAGCAACTTCTAAAAGATGTCTGTTTTTCCTTTCAGAAACTCCATTCTGTTGGGGAGAATAGACACAGGAGGTCTGGTGATGAATGCCATTTGTGGTTAAAAAATTTTTAAAAGATGAATTTAAATATTCTTTCCCATTATCAGTGCGAAGAATTTTGATTGAAGTCTGGAATTGATTTTTGATGAAAGCATAAAAATTTTGAAAAACAGAAAACACTTCTGACTTGTTTGTAATTAGAAAAACCCAAGTCAATCTTGTATGATCATCTATAAAAGTTACAAACCAGCGGGCTTTGGAGTTGGTGTCAAATTTAGACGGCCCCCAAACATCACTATGGACAAGGGAAAAAGGGTGAGAGGGGGTATAGGGTTGTGGAGGATAAGAGTGTCTAATTTGTTTTGCAAAATGGCATGTATCACAATGAAAATCAACAACAGATTTATTACTGATAGAAGGAAATAAAACTTGCATATAACTAGGACTAGGGTGGCCTAACCTAGAATGCCACAACATTATTTCATTAGTTGGCATAGTAGATGAAATAGAGCAAGAAATAGAAACTTTTGGTGAAGATCCTTGGATATAATAAAGTCCATTCCAGACTTTAGCAGCGCCAATCATCTTCCCCAATGCCAAGTCCTGAAAAACACAACTAATATTATCAAAAGTAACAAGGCAATGCAATTGATCAGCAACTCGTTTTACTGACAGCAGGCTGCACTTAATTTCAGGGACATATAGAACATTTTTCAATGTAATATGTTCAGAGATAATAACAGTTCCAGAACCTAGAACCTTGGAAAACTGCCCATTAGCAACCTCTACAGTATTATGGTTAGAAAAAGGACTGAAATCAGAAAAGACCTCTTTAAATCCAGTGATATGATCAGTGGCACCGGAGTCAATTATCCATAAATTCTTAGATGGAGTCACACTACTAAGAGCATGAGTTAGGATAGTACCTGCACGGGCTAGAGTAACAGAGGGTGTAGGGGTCTCACTTGTAGAGGCAGTAGCGTGCTTGTCCAGCAACTTTCGCAGAAGTAGTAGCTCATCATGGCTTAAGAGACTACTATCAGCAGTAGAGGAACCCACCATTAAGCCCTTGCTTTCTATTTTGCCTTTCTGCTTGCTGTTTGGAGGTTTTCCATGAAGCTTCCAACATACCTCTCGTGTGTGTCCACTCTTGTGACAGTAGTCACACCATTTGCTAGACTTTTTGTTTTTAGTGTCCCCTTGGGGCCACGGACAGCAAGAGCAGATGAATCATTAGAATGTGTGGAAGAAAAAGAAGAGGAATTAATCAATACCTTCCTACTTTCTTCAAACTTGACAGTATTGAAAGCTTCTATAAGTGAGGGAAGAGGTTTAAGACTCATGATTCGTCCCCTCACATCTTCAAAGGAATCATCTAGTCCGAGTAGAAACTTGTAGCACCGTTCCCGATCCACCAACTTTTTGTAATACATGGCATCTGTGGGATTGGACCATTCATGGACCTCATAGAGGTCTATTTGTTGCCAAAGTTTCATTAATGCTGTGCAATATTGAGTTACAGATTGTTCACCTTTAACCAGATCATGAAGTAAGCGTTTGACTTGAAATAGAGCAGCTGTATTTTCTGTAACAGAATAAGTGGCCTTTGCAGAATCCCAAATTTCTTTGGCTGTTGTAGCAAGGAGATAGTTTTCTCCAATCTCGACTGTCATGGAGTTGACGAGCCATGCCATTACTAGATTATTTTCTGCACACCATGTAGGAAATTGTGGATCAGTAGCAGCTGGTGGTGGCGGAGATCCTGTGAGATATTTCTCCTTGTTGCGACCACGAACAAACATGAGAACATAGCGAGACCATTGAAGGTAATTGTTCCCATTTAGATGATGGGTAACAGGCATTTGAGAGAAGGCATCTGATGGCAAACCTAGTGGCGGTGTACTCCTAGTTGTTCCGCCACCTTGTGAGGCCGAACCTTGCCCTGAAGGAGGGAGATTACTGCCATCAGCAGTAAAACCACGTGGCTGCTGCAATGCAGCCTTGAAAGACATTGAGAGGGCTTTTCTTTCTCACGGCTCTGATACCATGAAAGTTTCTGAATAGTAATTCTCTGTATATTCACTCATGATCTGATTACATAATATATAAGGGAAATAGGAATCAACCTAATCAATACAGATTTGATCCTATACCTCCTAATTAATACAGATTTGATTCTATTCCTCCTAAAATCATGGAGCACTAATAGTGACCAGATTTCTCTCTAATCTGACCGTTGCTATTTATTACAGAATATTCTCTGTAATATAACATAGGAAATTAGGTTAAGCATTTGGTTTCTGGGCCTTTAGGCAGCAGGCCCACTTTCCCACACTTACTTATAAAGGCAAAGAGATATCCTTTATTATTGGTGGAGCCTCTTATGCCTGCTGATTTTTCAATTTATACTTTTGATTTTGATTCCATTGGTCATCGTAGATCAAACAACAACAACAAGCCTTATCCCACTAGGTGGGGTCGGCTACATGAATCACACGACGCCATCGTGCTATGTCATCGTAGATCAAAGATGTTGAGTTTGAAGGCCGAGGTCAAGTAAGGTGAAAGCAGGGCCCAGATGGATTCAAAGAGTTTTGTGTGGGAAACAACAGAAATTGCAATTAGTTAGTAGCAGGAGAGTTTGTAATTATCAAGTAAAAGCTCCACATGTAATTCGATTTAAATATAAGAAAAACTCCCCTTAATTTTTGTCAGAAATATTCCAGAATTAATCATGGGTCATCACTTAAGAACTTAAGATTTTGGGATGCATAGTCCTTGTGAAAGCACAAGTGTGTCAATGAGTATTTTGCTAGAGTTTGATCCTTTTTGCTTCTCATTTCTCCTTACTAAAATTAACTTCGTTTCTTTGGTGATACCATTCTAAAAGCAACATTAGGTGCGGAGTAATCCAGATTCAGCTGCGTTGAACCACATAGACATGAAGCTCTCCAAAGGGCTATTTTCTTCACATGAGACTTAAACTCGAGACCTTGCTTAAGGAAGACAAGCGTCAAACCTCTTGAACTAATTGCCATTGGTTTAATTAAAATAAACTTTCATTATAATGTTTAGTGGGCCTGTGCTTCGTCCATGCTGGTCTCAAAGGAAGGGGTTGTGGTTGTGTGTGTATGTGTGTTTTTTTTTTTTTTGGGGTGGGGGTTGGGTGGTTAAAATCATTCCTCTACAAGATTCTTTTCTTCTTAGAATTGAGAGAGAATCTAGCTGTTGGCTTTGTTAGCTTGTCAAGAGCTCACATAAATGCATTGATTCTATTGTGTCTTTTGCTCGAGATGTAAACTGCAATTTTGTTCTATGAAATTCTTGGATGGTATATTTCTTCTGCTGTGAACTGACTTAAATTGTTTTCATTCTTTTCATCATGTGCAGGAAGCGGCTGCACGCCATGATGAAATGAAAAAATCAATTGAGGCCAAAATGGCTTTACGTCAAAGCAATTTGAATCCTGAAAGGCCTGGTTAGTTCCCCACCCCCTCCCTGCTCATATTGATAGTATGTATGCGCACTATTCAGTTTTATGCTGCAACTAGCAGGAATTAAAATCTTCAAAATGGAATTTACCTCTTGTACTAGAAGTGATCTTTAGCCTCTTCCCCTTTTCTTGGAAACAAAGCTTTTCTGTAGTGAATAGAATTTCGTATTTTTAGTATGATGCTTTTACACTTGTTGATGGAAAACACGGATGATAATGATATTTGTTGCCTTAGGGAATAGAGTTCCTTGTGCTTTAATATATTCAATTTCCTTTTCTTTGTTCTTTTTATGAGAGCAAAGTTGGTAATTAAAATATGAAATTGATTCTTTCTTCCTGTTATTCAAACAGCTTTTTGCAACATAGGAATCCGTGTATGGTTTATTATCTTTTATGCTTGTTGAATTGTCATCAGTTTTTGCTTCATGAATAGTAATTGAGTGTATTTTTACATACAGACTCAGGATTTCTTAGGACACTGGATTCCAGCATCAAGCGCAACACTGCAGTTATTAAGAAACTGAAGCAAATCAATGAAGAGCAACGGGAAGCCCTGATGGATGAGTTGCGAAGTGTCAACTTAAGCAAATTTGTCAGTGAAGCTGTGGCAGCTATATGTGAAGCCAAACTTAGATCATCAGACATTCATGCAGGAGTTCAGGTGGGTGCTTTGCATTTTTCTTTCTTCTCATCATTTTCTTTTGGGCATGCTGCATTGCTTGAACTGAGTTGTGTTTGGGTTTCTTGTTTTGACATATTAGAAATGATTTCCTAGTAAAACGGAGGTTCTTTGTTTCATTGTAATTAACTTGGAAAGGTATTTGCATGTGCCTTGTTTAGATTATTGCAAAAATCTAGGACAAGCATTCTAAAATCCCAATGGTACAAAATTTAAACTTTAAGGTCGTAAAATAAGCATTCACATGTTTTCTCTGGCTGCAATTTGTCTTGCTTTTTAATCCCAAGCTGGAGCTTCTCTTGTTTCAATATTTATGTTCTATGAGGCTTTTTCTAGTTAAAATTCTGGGCTTGTTATTTTGATTGGCTTTTAGACACTGTAAATGAAGACAGTTCCTTTTATAATTTAGAATGTAGGGTTTTTTGCCTCCATTTCGTTGCTAGGTCTTGCTATAATTTTATTGGTTGCAATTATCTTTTTAAAGGCATGATTCCTGAGACATTCCTGACTTAGATCTCTTTTTCAATAGATTTGCTCTTTGCTTCACCAAAGATACAAGGACTTCACACCAAGCTTGATTCAAGGGCTTCTCAAAGTTTTCTCCCCTGGGAAATCTGGGGATGAATCTGATGCAGATAGAAACTTAAAGGCAATGAAGAAGCGTAGCACTCTGAAACTTCTGTTGGAACTTTATTTTGTTGGTGTTATAGAAGATTGTGGTATTTTTATCAACATTATAAAAGACCTTACCAGTGCAGAACAGCTAAAAGACATAGATTCTACACAAACTAGTTTGACTCTTCTTTCTAGCTTTGCTCGCCAAGGGAGAATATTTTTAGGACTTCCTATTACTGGACAAGAAATTCATGAAGAGGTACGTCTTTATCTTCCCATTAAGAATTCCATTTGTTGTTTTCTATGACTCTAATGATCAGTTTGGTTGTTGGGAGGGGATAGAGTTATTTATTCCTTGCATAAAAATCACGATATGTAATATCTGTTTTGCTCAAGGCATTGTTATTCCATAATACTCCCTCTGCTTCAAAATATAAGCAGCAAATCTTTATAAGGGTTTGGGCTTTCTTTCTTTGTTTTTTTTTTTTAAAAACAAGGCACAATTTAAACTTGTCTAATTATTTAATACGTTTTTTCATTTTTACCCCTAATTAACTAGATGTCTCTCATATCTTTTTTTCCACTTATTCTCTTTCATCTCTTTTTACTCATTCTCTCTCCCACTTACCCTCTCTGTAAATAAGGGTGTTTTGCGAACATAAGTTTCATTTAAATAATTTTAACCAACTTTTTGAGTTGTGTGATTTGTTTATGTGATGCTTATATTTTGAACTAGAAGAGGTAAGTGTTTTTTTCCCCCCTTCCTTTTTACATTTTTTTAGGGATATAAAAGACATTTCTTATCTACAAGGTTACTTTTCTCATCCTTTTATCTTTTCTTTCCATTTCATTCTTCTTACCAAACCAGCCCTGAATCTTCAATCATTTTTAAATTATTGTTTTGTCTTTAGAATTGTACCACCATGCCTGCTCTGTCCTTCATATTCCTGTGCTCACATGATGATACAGTTTTTGAAGGGACTGAACATCACAGCTGATCAGAAGAAAATTTTCCGAAAAGCATTTTATGCATTTCACGATGCTGCAGCAGAACTGCTTCGATCTGAGCATGCGGTAAGATTCGTCCCCTGTTAACTGTTGATTTTGGTTAGTTATTCACTTTTTGTTCTAGGTACTGCTTTTTTAGTAGATATTTGCAGCAATATTATGGTTCATGTGATTATTAATGGCTTTTATTTTTCTGACAGTCACTTCGACTAATGGAGCACGAAAATTCTAAGATCTTAAATGCAAAGGGGGAGCTTAGTGATGAGAATGTCTCTGCATATGAAAAGCTTCGAAAATCTTATGACCATTTATATCGTAATGTCTCATCGTAAGTTGCTTTTGTTGACTTTTTTCATTTCATTTTCCTATTTCATGTAGTGATTACTTTTTTGTTCTCTAAATGAATGGCTCCATATACCAATATTCCATAAGATTAGCAGTAAATAAATACATGAAAGGTTTAAGCTCTAGACATAAAGCAAAAACAACTTTCAGGAATTTCTAGATATGACAATCTATTGTTGAGGATAGTCTTGCAGGTGAGATTATTTTTAGATTAGTAATGAATGGAATTAAGGTTTGCATGTATTAGTTAATATTGTGTCAGGTGCACCCTCTGGATAATTGTATTACAGCTTAAAGCACGTATTTGAGTGCATGCAACACCACCCGAAAACATGGTTGAGGGTGGTGCAACGCCACCCTGAACATGCCCTATGGTCTTCCTCAACACATGAGATGTTTTCTTAAATATTTTAGCTTTACTTTTCTTCTGCCAACTCTTGCATGATTGCCTTGATGCAGATTAGCAGAATCTCTGGACATGCAACCTCCAGTAATGCCAGAGGATGGTCACACAACTAGGGTTACTAGTGGTGAGGAAGCTGTTTCTTCTGCTGCTGGGAAAGATTCTTCTGGTGTTGAGGCCATATGGGATGATGAAGATACTAGAGCATTCTATGAATGTTTACCTGATCTTAGGTATTTGTTTAAAATTTTATTCACTTGAAAAGAAAAATGATTATATATTGATGGGTAACTTTTCTTTCTAGTTAAATTGTTTGTTGCAAACGCTGGTTTTATTTTTATTTAGTCGGCTCTATTATTGTTTTATATCAGAGGAAACTTAATTTGGCCTTTATTCTAGAGCATTTGTTCCTGCTGTGCTATTGGGGGAAGTTGAGCCGAAAAGCAATGAACAACCTGGAAAGAGTCAAGACCAACCAACTGTAAGGAGCCATAACTCTGAATTATTTTGACCCATTGCAGGCATATGTTCTGGTTGCTTGCCTTTTTCTATTCAATAATTTCTCTGCTCATAAGTGGAAGCTACAAATGAGGTGTCTTCAGTTCCTATATCTTCTGGCCTTCCCTTTCTGAATGGGTATTTATGAAGTTTTGAACTATACTGGTTGTTTTGCAACATTGACATATTGTTTGATGTCATTTTACCTGGTTTCCTATCTGTTTTCCCCTATTATGTGCTGTTTTGTTTCTTTTTCTTTGTTTTTTTTGTGCTGTTCAAGTTGTTTGAGGGGCGTTTTTTAAAAATTCCTTCTGTGTATTGTAATATTATCATTTTGTCTGTAGAAGTTATGATTACTAGAACGAATTGATATACCTGAAATGATTCAAAGTTAAAATTTGAGTTCTAGTATCATTTCTACGTTTATTCTGTTTTTACTTTCTATTTTCAATATGGTTCCTGAATTTTTTTGTCTTAGTCCCATTCTGCTTTTTCCAGCAAGTGCAGTGCAATTTCTATGTGAAATGAATATTATGCAATATGATCGGGAATCAGTTAACTTGACATTTTTTAAACTTTTTCTCCCGACAATATGAGCAGAGCTTGTTAATTAAGACCATCCTAGCGGTTAAATCTTAATATTATGCAAGCTAAATTTGCTAATATCTAGCTTCTTCTTTATAAGTTCTAACTGGACATGTCCAAAGCTTTCACTTGTTATGTGACATGTCACATTTGCTTATTTTTACCATGCATGAAAACTCTGATACAGCCATAAGATTGCATCTTTTGTTCTTGCATCTATTCACTGACATCAAGGTTTTGGCATTTTAAGGAGCCAGTGTCTGAATCAGACAAACGTCAACCAGTTACACTAGAAAGTGGAGATGTCTCCGCAGAGCCCAGTGTGTCCCCAGAGCCAGAAACAGCTGAAAGAGTGAAAGATAAGGATGATAAAGAGAAGTCTAAAGACTTGGACAAAGAGAAGGGAAAAGAAAAAGAAAACGACAAAAAGGGGGAAAATGAAAAGGAGAATCTTAGAAATCTTGAAGGGACTAGTTTGGATGCTTTGCTGCAGAGGCTCCCAGGTTGTGTGAGCCGAGACCTTATTGATCAATTGACTGTAAGGATGTCTTGTTGAGTGCTATTATTCCATAATTTCTGAGATTTTGTTGTCATCATTGCCCTCATTATTAATTACTTTTGGCCTCGTTTCAATACTATTTCAGGTAGAATTCTGTTATTTAAACTCAAAGTCAAATCGGAAAAAGCTTGTTAGGGCATTGTTCAATGTACCAAGGACATCTCTGGAACTTCTACCTTATTATTCACGAATGGTTGCCACACTTTCAACATGCATGAAGGATGTCTCCTCCGTGCTCTTGCAGATGTTGGAGGAGGAATTCAACTTCTTAATAAACAAAAAGGTTAGTACTATGATTTTTTAATGTAAGTGAGACTAATCTGTGAACAATTAATGTATTTATTTTTCTTGTTTTCGTTGCCTGGTTTTGAAATTTCTTACTTTGTAGGACCAAATGAACATTGAGACAAAGATAAGGAACATACGGTTCATTGGAGAACTATGCAAGTTCAAAATAGCTCCAGCGGGCCTTGTCTTCAGTTGTTTGAAGGTATGATAAACTATCATTGAATTGAAATACTTAAATATAAAAATAAATGCTAATTGCTTTTAATTTAATTATTATGTTTTAAACCATATTTTGGAGTTAATCTCGTGTTTTAGTGAGGTCCAATTGCATCTAGTGACAATATGGAATTGTATATATGTGCGGGTATATGATTGGCAAGGAAATACATGAAAATAACAATATTATCTAATTTAACATTAATTTAGTTTATCAACAATCAAGGGGCTCAAACTTGCTGTGGGCTCAAACTTGCCTCTATATTTTACTCTAACCTGAAATAAGAATGATAATCCTTAAAAAAAAAAAACACAAGAGGACAAAACTTCTGTGGGGTCAAACTTGTAGTCTTGGTGACATGAATACGATTATCCACGGGCCATCACTAACCTTCAATTTTTAACTTAGGGCCTGTTTGGTATGCTGTAACTGATTTTGACTGGGAGAAAGTTGAATTTGGAGATAACCACATCTACCTCAATTTCTTAGTGGTGGATGGCATTGGTCAAGAATATGCAGCACATGGTGGGGCGGAAACCACAGAACTCCATTTTTCCTTGTCACCTTGAGGACAATGTGGCCCTTCATTTGGGGGGGGGGGGGTAATGTTGAACATAATGTTAATATTGACATGTGGGGTGCGAACCATGTGACTAGGTATTTGAGGTATTTTATATTTGACAGTTAGCAAGGGGGAAGGTTCTATGTGACGGGTTTGATTGTTGGAGAGGTTATGGAAAATGTGGTGAGTTAATTGGGAGAGTTCCTGTGCCTCTCGAATGCATAGGGTAGTGCTTGTTTTCTCTGTTTAGGTTTCACCTTCACAGGACTTGCCCTCTGTGGTGGTGTACTTTCAGTTGAATAATACATATTTCAGATATTTGATTCCATCAGAATGATAAATCAATTAGGAAAGGATAGAGCTCGAATCTAACTCTAATTGTTTTAAATGGCCAAAGGCTTAGGAGAATCTCCAAATGGATTAAACGGCACTTTCATTTCTCAATGACTAGCTTCAGAGGTTGTTAGCCTATTTGTATGGCTGGGAAAAATTGAAATAATTATGTAGTCTGAAGAATCCCTACAATATTTGACACAGTCTGCAACAGCTAAAAAAATAACAAACTGAATGTTGGGAACCACTTAAGAACATTATGATCCCTTATTCTGCTAAACCGACTTCTTAAATCTCTCAAAAGCAATTATTCAACAAAATAAACTGCAAAATGTGAAGAAAAATAAGAAATAATTAATTCATCTTTTGATGTTTTCTCCTTCTAAGATAAGGTTGCATTGGTCTCTTAACAAATACGCACTAAAGGTTTTTTTGGGGGGGGGGGCATTTTAGTGCTGATACGAGTCTATCAGTCAGTTCGTGGTTAGTTGGTCACTGCTTTATTAATTCGTACTCTTGGTTCTTTTACCATTCTTCTCTATGTCTTCTCTTCTACCCTTTACGTCTTTCTTAATTCCTATCTTTGGTATCAAAGGCGGCCTTGCTCCGCCATGGCTGAAGTTTCTCAGATTGAGTCTGTCCTTAAAGAAATAGGAGATCATTTTTGTGTTAATAATTCCAAAAAATCACTCTGTAGTGTTAACCTCAAGTGATCTAGATTCACAATCTTGGGATAGGGGTTATTTCTTCATTTTTCCAAAAGTGAGAGGAAAATATGGGTTTCCATGATGGACTGATGGCAAATACGGATTGGATTCTTGAAGTGGGTGGTGGATATTGTGGTTCTATAGATCTGTTTGTTGAACCTCCTAGATTTCCATAGAAGGTGAATATGGTGCCGTCCTTGGACACTGGAGTTTGTTTGTGTGTCTGTAGAACTGAGTCCACACTGTATATTAAAAGGGTTTTCTCTTGCCTCAATAAGGATTTCATGCCTCACTTGGGTGCTAATCATTTGGCATCATGCTGGTTGGTGACCTTGGAAAGAGCTACCTAAGGTTACAGAGGGTTTCGATCCTTGGAGGGCTGAGTGAACTGTTAAAGACTGCAGCACTGCAGCTATCAGGGTGTTTGCTTTTGATTGATTGTCAATTGGTGGGAGCCAATGCAGTGTGTGATGCCTAGGTCTCATGAGCTACTCAATTAGGTGCTTAGGTGGTTTTTAACTTGACATCTGGGCCTGATAGAATGTAGCAGACCAGACCTAACCAGCAAATGTAAGAGAAGAGAAGCTTGTTAGTGTGAGGATTGAAAATGGGACTGAAGTGAACGTAAAAGCAAATGCTTTCTGAAACTGCTCCCGTCCAAATTCTGACTTGGCATAATGCTATTAAATATGATTCCATGGCAAATAGTTCACATTTGAAACTCAAATAATTAAAGTGCATCCTAAGTGCTGACGTCACATGATGATGGTTAGAATCTGACAGAGGCAAAAGGGAAAGGGAATAAGGAAAGAGGAGAAACAGGGCAAAATAGAAGAGAATGGAGAAGGATTCTAGGGAGAAGAACAATAGATAAGATGAGAGGGATTCTGAATAATGCGTGCTGGTTGTTTATTCACAGTTCTGGGAAATACAATGGAATAGGGGATATATTCATAACCTTAGGCTAACGCATATATTCCTAATTACCTTACTTTTTTTTTTTTTTTTAATTGGCAAAGTATTCGTTCAATTCTGATAGGAGGAGATTAACCATTTTGCTTTCCTCTAAAGCAAAAGATTTGTTTCCTTTCCATGTTGATCTCCCTCCATTCCAGTACATGACATCCTCTTCGCTCTCTTTCTTAGATCTTCTGTTCTATTTCTTTGTCTAATCTGATTGTGGAGTTTATAGTGACTCTGTGATAATATCTGTTATGCAACATAATTTTTTTGTATTTACCCCTCCTTGAAAGAGTTTCTTCCGGTAAGAAGATACATAAGAAGTCACAATTTGAAATCTTTTAGGATTTGGAGATTGAGATATCAAAAATACATTGCAAATGTAAATCCCTGAGCAAAGAAACAGTTCAATTAATTTCACACTCATGCCACCCCTATTTTATGCAGAATAGAGATATGGATGGCTTTTGACTAACATCAAATTCCCTAACTAGCCACATGGAAAATTCCCTAGCTATCCCTTGATTCCTTCATTGCAGTAGATCTGATACACAATTGAATTACATTATGTAAGACAATGATTTTAAATTGATTTTTTTTTTTTTTTTGGGTTAATTGTATCCCAGGCTTGTTTAGATGATTTCACTCATCACAACATTGATGTAGCTTGCAATCTCCTTGAAACCTGTGGTCGTTTCTTATATCGATCTCCTGAAACTACAATACGTATGGCTAACATGTTGGAGATACTGATGCGCTTGAAAAATGTGAAAAACCTGGATCCCAGACATAGTACTTTAGTGGAGAATGCCTACTACCTTTGCAAGCCACCAGAGAGATCTGCACGAGTTTCTAAAGTCCGTCCTCCATTGCATCAGGTGTAACATGTATTTCAAGTTATTTGGTTTCTGATATCTGTTAAGCATCTGAATTAACATTCTAAGTGATTTCTTTTTTTTTTTTTTTTTTCCTGCTGCAGTATATCAGAAAATTACTTTTCTCTGATCTTGACAAATCTACCATTGAGCATGTGTTGAGGCAACTTCGTAAGTTGCCATGGAGTGAATGTGAATCATACCTTTTAAAATGCTTCATGAAGGTTCATAAAGGAAAATATGGTCAAATCCATCTGATAGCTTCTCTCGCTGCTGGTTTAAGTCGCTATCATGATGAATTTGCAGTGGCTATAGTTGATGAGGTTGGTATCTCCTGTCGTTTCTTTTCAATTCAATATCATGATCTAGATTTTGGGGAATGTCTGTTTTTCTGGAAAGATATCCTTAAACTAGAGAATACAAGAAAATCTCATAACAGAGCAGGAGCGAAAGACGTGAATAGCTTATAAATGTAAAGGTCAGCAATATCTTTACTGATCAGACATTGCGACACCCTTAAAATTCGTGCAGAGCAGTTGAGGGCGGCTTTATAAATAATTCCGTCTCACAATATATGTAAGGGAAAAAATTTGTCCAAGAAGATGCAAGCGTCCCTCTCCAACCAGGGCAAAGATAATCTGGTGTTCATTTGAATGGTTTCAATATAAATTAAGTATTCTATCTTCTTTAATTAGCAGTGTCAGCTGCAGCTAACTCTCCCCTGTCATGGGAAAATGAACTTTGCAAATGATTTCTTTTACCACATTTTTTTTCCCCTAATGATTGTGCTTGGTTGTGCTCTCGGTTGGAATTGTGATATTTGTGACGTGAGTTTCAGGTTTTGGAGGAGATTAGACTTGGGCTGGAGCTAAATGACTATGGGATGCAGCAACGAAGACTTGCCCATATGCGATTCCTTGGGGAGCTTTATAATTATGAGCATGTTGACTCCTCTGTGATATTTGAGACGCTATATCTAGTTCTTGTTTTTGGTCATGGAACTCCAGAGGTACGGTTTAGATTTTTTGTTCTTCTTTCAGTTCAGTCAGAGTGACTAAGAAGGTTGTTGCAAAGATAGTGATATGTTTCATGTATTGGATAGTAGAACTGATATCTTTAATAGGCGACGTATCACAACAGATAAAAGAATAAAATTCTTTATAACTCTCGCATGCTGGAAAAACATACCGGCGCAGTATAAGAAATGACAGTAATATGCTAAGATACCATTCTTCCTTTTTTTATGCAAAATTTTTCTGTATTTAAAATATATTTCCTCTTAGGCGAGAGGCATACTGTTTTAAAATTAAAAGCTCTTGATGCCTTGGATTTGGTAATGATTTGTTTTGAAATGTATGAATGAAAAATTGTTTAAATGATTTTGTTTTGCATATATGGCAACCGTCTCATACCATAGTGTACATTTCATACTTCCAGCAAGATGTGTTGGATCCACCAGAAGATTGTTTTCGTATCAGGATGGTTATAACTCTTCTTGAAACTTGTGGACATTACTTTGACCGAGGATCTTCAAAGAGAAAACTTGATCGATTCCTCATACACTTTCAGAGGTATATTCTAAGCAAAGGTGCACTGCCACTGGACATTGAATTTGATTTACAGGTTAGTCAGGCGGCTCTTTAATAGATCTCATTTTTTTCTCTGCTTAGTATATATACAAATATATGAAGCAGAAGGATGTCTGTCAGCATGCTTACATTCTAGATGTTGCCTAAATTGTTAATTGCTAGTTTTTTTATGTTGAGAAACCCTATCAAGGTAGGACTATTAATGGATCAATGGATTATTGATAACTAGGTCTGAGTAGGTCTGAGTTTATCATTACCTAAAGTAGAGTTAACTATTGTTTTTTAGTTTAACTATCTTCTCATTTCATTATGTTTTGGAGTTTATATTATCGTTAATCTATTTTCAAGTATATAAATAAGATGAGGGATTGCCATAGCATGTATGAGAGTTTCTTGTGCGTGCAAGCCTTCCCATTTGTGCATTCAATACTTTCTAACATAGGTCATGTTTTTGTCTGTCGATTTCTTCTAAGAAACCATTGGCAAAAGGCCACAGAGATGCCAAATGAAATGATTTATCTTAGATAATGCTCAAGCAACTCTGGCTATAATGCTTGATTCCTGCGTTTTGCTTTAACCACATACACCATTAGTACTAGCAAAAAAGGTGACGTTTCCAAAAAGCATTATTCTCCTTCTCTCGAAAATGTATAGACTAAGAAAACCCTAGAGTAAGCGCACAAGCCTAGTGCCCACAAAAAATTCCTGAATAACAAGTAATTTCACAATGCCTTAATAGAAGAATCTTATTTTTTCCCCTTTTATGCTGCTTATACATGTGATTAAGGCTTATATGTGGCCCACATAGGCCCTCCTGCCTTGGAGCTTATTGCCGAGTTGTTAGTGAAGTTTCAGATGTAAACTTGGAAAAAATGTTTCTAGAAATAATTGACCTGTTTTCTTTACGGGGGTGTTTGTAAATTGAAATTTTTTTCACACGATTAAGCTGTTGAAATAAATTTTTGTAAATCCATGTAATTTTAAATTGATTTCATGTGATCCTGAGTTTTATAGATTTTGGTTTCAACAGAAATTAGGCTTAAAAAGTAAATGTGTTTTAGATAATTTAGAGATTTTATGAATAATAATTTTGTGTAGAGATTTTATAAAAAGCAGTAATTATTTTGCGTTTGCTTACAATAATAAAAAGTGATTATTATTGAGTGATTTTCAAATTTGATGATATCTTTATACATCTCCATTCATAAAAAATGATTTATTATATATTTGTTTTCAAATTCTATGATATCTCTAGATATCTCAGTATTTTTATAACATTCTCTCATCTACTCGTTCTGATTATTGTTAGAAGATATCCGAAGTAGCTTCTCAAAATCATCAGACATTTTTCCATCAAAAAAAAAATCATCAGACATTTGCCCTTTTTTTTTTTTAAGATTCTGATTAATTTCAAAGGCTAAACAAGCATTTGAGAATTTCACAAAAGTGATTCCCCCCCCCCCCCCCCCAAAAAATGATAAGTGATTTTTTCCTGAAAAGGCTTAAACTAACTAGTACCGAAAATAAGTGATTTTTAGATAGTTTAGGGATTTTATGAAAATTTATTTATGGGAGAATTACCATGAAGTCCCAAGGAAAGAATTTAGTTACCAAAAAGTCCCAATGACAAGTGAGTAGCATCAATCAGTTGTCATTTCCTACATTAGAAAGCATAGTTCTCAGCCAGTTGTCAATAGACTTTTGGGTAATTAAATCCCTTCGTTGGATCTGAATGCAATTCCCCCTTAATTCATTGTGTAGAGATCTATAAAGGTATAAATTATTGTGTTTGATTATAATCATACAAGATGACTATTATTTAATTATTTTCATATTTTTGACATTGTTTTGTATCTTTATTAAAAATAATTTTTAAATTTTATGATATCTTTGTGTAAGTCCATATTTTTGTGATATTCTCCCTGATTCACCACATCTGATTATTTTCAGAAGCTAAAATAATCAGAAAATCCTTTTTTCCCCCATATTCTTGTTAGTTTTGAAAGCTTACACAGACATAATGAAATTTCACCAAAATTCTTTTTTTCCCCATATTCTTGTTATTTTTGAAAGCTTACACAAACCTAATGAAATTTCACCAATGTGATTCCCCCCCCCCCCCCCAAAAAAAAAGAAGAAAAACTTAAGTGATTTTTTCAAGAAGAAACCTTAAAAATTGGGCCCTTAGTGAAATATTTTAAAATTTTTGCATATGAAGTATAATTGGAGGTTTAGATGATAACTGTTTACATAAAGAAAAAATCCATTTCTAAGCAATATTTTTTTTAACTCCTCCCTCCATGTCAATTATGAGGCATTTTTAACTAGAACGCATGAACCAAGAAAAATAGTTAGGTAGTTTAGATTTCAGAATTTTTCCCAATTTTACCTTTATTTAATAGTACCAATAATTAATTATCTGTTAGGGAAGGTAAGTAAATTTGATGTGCTCTATTGCTCTTACGACCATTTTAAGTAAAAAGTTACTAATTGCTTTTAGAACTCTGTAGAATGCCTTATATTTTGAACATAGTATTTTACAAAACATGCCTTATATTTGACATGGAGATAGTAATTCTGACTAATGCTGGTCCAATGAGATTAATTTGTGGAATGTCACATTGTAAACAAACATAGAGAATAATAAAACCACCTCCTATGTATCTGTTTAGATTTTTGGGAGCTTGGTGATTATTCCCCGTAGTTGAGAAAACTTTTCATAGAAATTACCAAGTCCTGTTTTGAAAGTTTAACCTTGGGCGGGTAGCATGAGAAAAAACCTTCAAGATTTTTTACATGTTGCAATGGTACCTGACGCCTCAGATCGGTTGTTGGGCCTGGGTGTCAATATACAAAGAGATGTGATAACGTGACCATGGAATGCTGAATTATGGTAGATATACTCAAAAAGACAACACTCCATTCACCTAAGCCTGGTATCCTGTTGGATACAAATTACTCCGGCAGAGATCACGTGTATTTATTAGTCAGTTTCCTATTTCCGCCAATGTACTCTCAAGGATGTTAGTTTTTGCAATCTTCCATTTTTGCCAAATAAGGATGATTTTATTGTGATTATGCATTGTGAAATGATCAATGTTTTGTGTGGAGGAATGTTTTTTGTGAATATTTTAAACTCTAACCATATCCCGTTATGCGGACAAATAGAGAATTCTTGTACTAAGGAGCGGGAAGATGGGGTGATCTGTAATGGGAATTTTGCATGTTAATATATTGGGAGCTTGCTTAAAGTACTTATCTGCCTCCAAATCTAAAAGGAACCGAATTTTCCTGATTCAAATATCAATTTTAGCATATTAATTATAAAGGGTTAAACAGTAATAATGAGCTAAAGATGTATTTACAGGCCCCCTAAATCATGCAAGGCTTACTAATCTTCCTTGGATGCTTCGATATGGGTTATGCTCACAATTTTTTTTTCCCTAAGTAAATCTTAATTAACCAAATTGACAAGTTACAAATCTTAGTTGTAAAATAATAGTCCCATTGTAACATAAATAATAAAAGTATACTGTGGTACTGAATTTATGTTGTCAAGTTGACTTTTAAGTGTAGTTTTACACAATTCCCTTTTCTTTTTCAATTAAAATTTTTTATCATAAATATGATCAATATCTATTATGTGTCTGACTCATGATTGATGCTCATGTAGGACCTGTTTGCGGACTTGCGTCCCAATATGACTCGATACACATCAATTGAGGAAGTGAATGCAGCTCTTGTAGAGCTCGAGGAGCATGACCGTATTTCTTCTTCTGACAAGGCCAGTAGTGAAAAGCATTCTGACACTGAGAAACCTTCAAGTAGGAGTACACCTCATACTACAGCAAGGAATGGGCAGAGCATTGATAATGGTACAGAAGACAATGGAGTGCAAGATGATCTGAATGACAGTGAGAGTGATTCAGGGAGTGACGTACTTGATGTGGAGGGACATGATGATGAGGAGTTAGATGAGGAAAATCATGAGGATGGATGTGAGAGTGAAGATGAGGACGAGGATGATGATGGGGCTGTACCTGCTTCTGATGAGGAAGATGAAATCCATGTGAGACAGGCAGTGGCAGATTTGGACCCTCGGGAAGAAGCCAGTTTTGATCAGGAGCTTAAGGCTGTAGTACAGGCAAGGAACTGTATAATTTGTCTCCTTTCTCCTGCTCACTTCTGCAGTCTTGACTTCCCTTTTTTGCAAAAGTTATTTCGCCGTTTTCCTTCTGAATTTTGACTTTTAGGCCATTGTAAAATACCATCTGGGAACAAAATGTTACAATGTTTGTGTCTTTTGGGTCTCATTAATTTGGATGGAAAAGGGGGGTCATACTGAGCTCAAGAATGGCGGTAACAGATGAATAATGTTGTTCCTATGTTTTTTTCTCCCCGAAGGATGAGGGAAATTTAGTGGGGAAAAAGTAGTTTGTTATAGATGATGTTAGGCTGTCTGTTATAGCATTTTGAATGACACGATTTAATGCTTTGTGCAGGAGAGTATGGAACAGCGGAGGCAAGAGCTGCGAGGTCGTCCCACATTAAACATGATGATTCCAATGAACTTGTTTGAGAGTTCCACCAAAGATCACCATGCGAGGGTGGGTGGGGAAAGTGGTGATGAGACATTGGATGAGGAGATGGGTGGAAACAAAGAGGTACAGGTGAAAGTTCTTGTGAAGAGAGGGAACAAGCAACAAACGAAGCAGATGTACATTCCCCGAGATTGCTCATTGGTGCAGAGTACAAAGCAGAAAGAAGCAGCTGAACTGCAAGAGAAAGAAGACATCAAAAGGCTTGTCTTGGAGTATAATGATAGAGAAGAAGAGGAGTTGAATGGATTAGGAACCCAGCCAACAAACTGGTTGCTCAGCGTAGGCAACAAGGGTTCTGGCCGTGGCAACACTTTGGAAGGAACTGGTGGCCGGAGTGGCGGATCACGGCATCGGCATCATAGTCATGCTGGCAGTGGGGCCTACTATAGTCGGAGAAAGTGAATGGTACAAGATATATTCTGAATTCTGAGAGCAGATCAAGCCTAATTCCTCTCGGCAAGCTAAATATTGGGAAAACAGTAGTTTCAGCATGCTAAATTTGGGAAACAGTGGCAGGTCTGGCCGATCACGGCATCGGCATCATAGTCAATCCTCGTCTTTCATACACTCACCCTGTGCTATCGAGATGATTCAGGGTTAGAAGCTTAGTCTCTTGTTGGTTCAGAACCTGGAGTTTGTTGGTGAATACTATGTGTAATGAGGCGCAGTTGCAGTGCAGTGCAGTGCGTCGCCAAAATGTACTGGCTGCTTGGGGCGACGTGTTTGATGCTTGATGAAATCCTGTGTAACCACCATATTCTTAGCATTTGTTCATTGTATAGTCCTCCATATGAAGAGACAAATTATTCTAAGATAGAGATGTGGTTTTCCCTGGACCAGTAGTAATGTAAAGTGGAGAATGATGAATATGGAAGTGATTTGACATGCTACTAATTTAATATTGCCTCATTTGAAACAAGGTTTGAATTCCATAGCATGCTCTTCGTCTTTCCCTTTTGATCCCCAGTTGCTATAGGGAACAAAGGACGAAATCGATTCTTTTACTCAAGTGGTTCTCGCTTCTCCCTGTTCAACTTCGTGGAGAACGAGGGCTTTTGTAGAGGTGATCTCCAACCAAAAAGACTAAGGGTGTGTTTGAATGAAACCAAACCATGGTTTGGAGAATAGCTTCTAGAGAATAGAATCTGAAAAAAATAAATTTTGAGAAGAATAGATTTTGTGAAAAAGTGATTTTGAGAAGTGTGAGTGTTTGGATAGTTGTTATTAGAAGTACTTTTTATATATACAAATTGGCATAAATTAATATGATAATTATAGAAAAAATATCTTTTATGCTATATTTTAATTTGAAGGAATAAAATTATTAATAATATATTTTTTATTAACATATATTAATAATATATAAGATAATATAATTAATAAATAATTAATATGTATATATATTTATAATATAAAAGATTAAATATGTTTATAAAAAATATTTATAAAAAACAAGATACATATTCTATAGGCTCTCACACTCTCCCTTTTTTCTCCAAAAATAAAAAATTTCTATTTTTTTCCAAAACCATGGTTTTGAACCCAAATCATGGTTTTGATTTTTTTAAGGGTGTTTGGCTAACATTTTTCCCAAATCATGGTTTGGGGTGCTTGCCAAACACACCCTAATTTGACCCATTAAAGCCTCAATCAAATTAGAAGCTAATACTTCTTCCAATTTTAAATGTAAGAGATAAATAACTAATCTATAAAGATTAAAAAAATTAATTAGTTCAGCTATCTGTTAAATAATGTATTGGTTTTTATTTAAATATTCTTTTTATTGTTTGCATTGGAAATACTTTCTTGATAGAAAATTCTCTTAGTAAAAAAAAAGTACAAGTTTGAAAGAAAAAATATATCAAAGTTTTATATTTAAAATTAAAGCAAATTCTTCTACTAATTCTTATATATAAGACTAGTGATACAACACAGGAGAGGAAATGATAAAAGGGAGATATTAGAGAGAAGGAAGATACACAAAGAAAGGAGAAAGAAAGCAAACGAATAAAAGAAGGAACTCAAGAAAAGGAGAAAATAGGTCAAATATCAATTTTATTTCATTCAAAGGGTGTATCCTTACTCTGAAAAGTAAATGCGAAACATTTTAGAAACTCAAAAATTAAATATGAAATAATAAAATCTAAAATGATAACAATAAAATGAAAATTTAAATATTCTTGATAGTCTTTTTTTCCTTTGGCGAAAATTAAGGGGAAGAACCGTAAAAAAAAAAAATATCTATTAAAAATGATCATAAAAATTATAATTATTTATAAGCGATGAGAGCGACGGCGTCTCCTTCCTCGGCACTCTCGGCTTGCTTTCCTCGCTTGACGGCGTCTACTTCCTCGGCACTCTTGGTCGGGGAAGAGGACGTCATTCTCTTGTTCATTTTTATGTGTTAATAGGGTTTTAGTGGTGGTGTATTTAGTTTGTTTCTTCAACTATTATCAGATCTATGGTTTTTGCTTGTGGCGCTTTTTTTTGATGATAGCATGAAAAGCAATAGATCTGACCTAGACTTGATGGCTTGGATTTGTGTTTTGAGGGAAAGGTTTCAGTCGATGATTGTCTCTGCTTCAGTTGCCAAACTCTCTATGAGAGTTGTTGGTGTTGATCGGCGGTGGCGAATTCAAGATGTTGATGAAGGGTCTAAGTTTCATCAAATGGTGCTGCTCGGAGGGTGTTAAAGCTGAGTTCTCTTCCTCCTATAGTGACTTTCATTATTGATTTGTTGCTTGTGACTGTGGGTGTTCTACCTTCTGAGATTCCCATGTTTGCTTTTCAACCAAAAATGTTCTTTGGCCTACGAGAAGGATTGGTCCTTTGGGATGGGTTTTTCAAACCACCACTCTTTTTTCCTTGCTGCAGATTCCTGGCGAACTTGACGGCAACGGCTTCTCTTGTTTTAATTTGTTCGTAGGTTTAGGTTTCGTGTTGTTTATCGGGTGTTAGTTTCATGGCCTTTTTGTTGGACCTTTTTATTGGCCCTGTATTTTATTTCTCCGTTTCCTTCTTTCTACTTAATGAAAATATATTTTCTCTGGTAAAAAAAAAAAAAAAGAGCATTAATTTGATGTCACAACATTTTGGTTTAATTTTCCTTGTCAATATAGTGATATTGTTCAAATTTCCTTATTAAGGTAGTGAGGAGTTATAACTAGTTCAATTTGTTTTTTGGTGGCATAACTACAATTTTAATTCATTAGTATCTTGATTTGCTGATATTTGATTACAAGCATCCAATTCTTTCCGAGTTCGTGGAATGTATGCACTGTATGGACCAATTGACTCAATTTATTGCATTATCCTGTTAGTTAGTAGTGCGTTTGGTTTTGTTAGTGCACCCTAGGTGTCCTAAATTGTAACGCATTATAAGACTAAATCTGCTTAGTTAAAACATTATCGATATTCCAAATTGATAATTTGATAGTAAAGGAGGAAAGGAAACAAGTTAGGGAAAAGAAAAGAAAATAATCAATTATAATTATCGTTTGATAGTTAAATTGATAAATAGTATCATTGCTAAAAAAAAAAAAAGTATTATTTTGTTTTTGATTAAAAAAGTACTATTTTAGTTTTTCAGAGGTAGTGTAAGGATGAAAATAATACTTTGAAGCAGAGCCTAGGGAGACAGAGATATCCAAAATAATGGCACAATTCCTATTCTGAAATTAACTTCTTTTTTTTTCTTTTTGGGTTCAATGATCTAATTTTTTTGTGTAAAAAGGAAAAAAGAAAAACTCCCTTCACTCTGGGTCACTAGAGCTCCAGCACAAGGCATTCCAAGCAATTTAAAGACAAGTCCCATTATAAAATGGTCAAATTTTTGAAAAGTATATGAGGTTACTATTCAAGCGATTCTTCCATATTCCTCAGTTTATTTTGAAAAATCATACGCATATTCGTCAGTTAATTTTAAAAAAATTATAATTAAATCTAGAAAAATAATGTGGAGGTAAAGTTTGCCTCATTTAAAAGATTGACAAGTCCTTTACGGGGGCAACATAATGCTCATCGGGGAGATTATCAGCTTCAGTTTCTGTGACCTAACTTGCAAAATTCATGTCTATGGTTGAAGAATTCCAAATGATATGTTCTGGCTTATTGGATGTCCTCTGCAAGAGAAAATATGTAACAGATCTTATGGTGACTCAGTTGATAGAATTAAATGAATTAGTTTATAATTTATGCCTTCCTAATGCGCTAGTTCCGGACTTTGTTCCTTATCTTGAAATTTCAAAACTCAAGTTATGGTGGGACAACTAGAAATTTTTTCTGTGTGCAATTCACAGATTAAAATATTTAATTAGATTTAAAATTCTAAGAAATTGCATTATCTAAGGCAACTCAAGATTTATTTTGGATAGAAGTATGATTTTTTATTCATCCCAATGGAATTTGAACTAGAGATGAGGAATTTAGAAAAAATAAAAGAAAATTTAAAATTAATTAATTATTTCTCCATCTAAATCTCCAATTGACATACTATTTAATTCAATATATTTAAATCTCAATTAAGATATTATTCATATTTAAAATTAATTATTAATTTTTTCATTTAAGCCCCTAATTGAAATTCCATTTATTTATAATGTTTCTCATGTAATTGAATATATTCAAATCTCAATCAATATGTTATTCAAATTTCATTAATTAAATATATTCAGATTTCACAATATTATACTCGACTGATTTTTAAATAAATCGGGTACTACAAGTTGTCAAGAATATAATTGATTGATTAACCTGATTCTGATTTAATTGATGATACCCGGAAGTTTTTTCAGTTTCAATATCACTCCCAAAGTATTAAAACAGAAACAATGTCGCCCTACTCTAATGGTAGCTAATTATGCCATGTATGATTTCACAACGGGCATGACTGTATTTTTTTCTTTGGTAAATTTTGCCTATATTGTAATATATTTTAACTTTAGCTGTATCTCTAGTAAAAATCATGAATAGGGGTGAATTGGTTAGGGTCAAATTTTGTCTCCAAGTAGAAACAATGGGCATCCAAAAGTTTTTTTCAGTTTTAGTGTCACCCTGGAAGTATTAAAACACAACGTCGCCCTACTCTAATGGTAACTAATTATGCCATGTATGATTCCACATGGGCATGACTGTATTGTTTTCTTTGGTCAATTTCACCCTGGAAGATTTAACCAAAAAACAATATTGTCGCGAAAGAAGTTAAAAGGAGCAATGCTGCCCAAATTTAATATCAAACCAAATGTAGCATACGAAAGACCATTAAAGACAGGGAACGAAGTACACTTCAAGGATGATCAATGGCTCACCCCACCCTTGGTATTAATCTCTTTCCTTTTCCTTTCAGTATCATCGCAAATAAGTTGAATTCGTCAAAATAAAAAATGAATCTCCAACTCTTTCCATTTAGTTCACCTAATAAAATTTTGTATATAATTTTCATTTAATTATTTTTTTTGTATTACACTACTACAGAAAAGAGTTTTTATGACACTAATTTACCATGGTTATCAGGCAAACACTGTAAAAAAAAAATGGCAGTAGTATTTTTGCGATTATATAAAAGTACATTTTACTTTTCATAGTGGTTATTTAGAAAACTGCCATGAAAAGTATTTTTTAAGGTGGCTTTTTCAAAAACTACCATGAAAAGTTTTTTTTTTACAGTGGTTTTTTTAAAATACCATTTTAAAAATTCTGTCAGAATTTTAAAACCCTTTTCATTGTGTGATATACACACACACACACACACACACACACACTTACTTTTAACTTTTTATAGTCAAAGCCCATAACCCCCCACTATCATCCTCACTTGATTTTCTCCCTACTCCTACCTTGGTGGGCATTTTCCCCTTGCTTCTGTCAGCTCCACCATGTTTTTCTATCACCATCGCCATCGTGTAATCTTTTTGAATCCTTATTTATGAGTTTTTCTCC